ATTTTTATAGTCAAAAACCTATAGAAACATATTGGAATAAGATTAATGAATCACCACAAAATGAACATGTACAAAGTACAAAACAAAGAAAAAGAAAAAGTGGACAAACAATTGGTACCAACAAGAAAAGAAAAAATAAATAAGCCACTACAATATGTTCCCATAAACAAATATAAACAATGTAGAAGTGATGATCTACACTGGAAGGGGGTAGTGTGGTAATTCAACACTTAAAGATTTAGATTAGAGTTTAGAATATTGATAATCCGATAGTGGAGATCAGATTACAGAGTAATCTGATAGTTTATTTATAAAAAGAGTTTTTTATAGGACTTGTTCCTTTTTCTCTTTAACTAAGTTTTATTAATAAAATTCTTACGTTTTGTCTCGTTACATATTAAGACTCATACAAATACAACAGCTGTTTCCATGGCAAGGACCTTGGTATGGGCATACCTTGTAGGGTGGTGTTTTCAATAACACTCCGTAGGAAAGGTTCAAAGGCTAGGTTGAACAACAGAGGTGACAAAGGGTCTCCTTGGCGTAGTCCACGAGCTTGTATAATAGGTGCAGCAAGCCAACCATTAAGTGACAGGTGTATCTTGGTTGAGAAAAACAGGTCCGAAATGATGGTGACAAATAGTTGCGGAAAGCCCATATGCAGCATTGTGGATTGAAGGTACTCTGGATGTACTCGATCGTACGCTTTTTCTTGATCTAACAGAATTCCAATCGCAGGGTTGTTTTTATCCACGTTTTGTAAATGTGTCATCAACGTCTGTGTGATCCAGCCATTATCAGATATCAGCCTGTTGTGTAGGAAGCCAGTTTGGAATGGATTGATGATGGTAGACATATGATGTTGGAGGCGGTTGGCAAGTAGTTTAGTGAACAACTTGGCGTCTGTATTGATCATAGAGAGTGGTCTCCAATTTGCAAGTAGATTTCGATCCCCTTTTTTGTACAACAGCACCATTCTCGTTTCATACCATGAGGTTGGGCATATACCTTGCAATGCTTCATTCAGTATGTCTAGAAGTAAACGTTTGGTAGGCCGGTGTGTCTTGATCAGGTGACGATATAATTCAAAACATAAACCATCCAAACCTGGACTCTTTCTGTTTGGAGTGTGTTCTACTAGCAATTCCAAAGTCGTAGTCGTGAGTGGAGCGAGGAGTGCCTTTTGTTCTTCCTTGGTTAGTTGGCTTTTGGATACATGTCTTAGCAATTGTTCAGTAGCTCCATGGTCGACGGGGTCAGGCGAATACAGACTTTTGTAAAATCTACTGGCAGCTTGAAGCATAGTCGATGGCGTATTATACGTCATGTGGGTGTCGGGATCTCTGATTTGTGTTAAGGTGACTTGCTCTGTCCTTTGTTTCAAAACTTTGTAGAAGTATTTGTTGCTTCTTTCCCCTTGTTCTTCCCATTTGGTGTTGGACCGAACGATCAATCTTTCAGTCATCAACTGTGCTTCTCGATCAATCTTCTCTTCAATAATCTTTAGTTGGTCATGTGTTTCAACTGTATTATCGATTAAGGCCAATAACATTAACCTCGTGTTTTGAAGATCTTGTAAAACTGAACGACGTTCTCTATTCTTGCATGTACTATAGTGAATGGCTATGCTTTTGATTTTAACCTTTAGACCGTCCCATTTTGCTTGGTTGGAGGAGTACATTGTTGAACTATCGAAAAAGGCTGTCAATGCCTTTCCTAGGATATCCGTAAAGTCTTGGTCTTGCAGTAATTGTGAATTGAAACGCCATGTCCCAGGTCCAATGTTGTTGATGCTACTATGTAGATTGAAAGATAGTAGCGCATGATCGGTCCATTGGTATGGTAAATATTGTTGTCTCACGTTACTAACATTGGACTTTATTCTATGAGATGCGAATAGGTAGTCGATAGTGGTACGATATTGACGTCCCTTGTATGTGGGTAAAGGTTGATAGGTTTCTCTAGCATTGCCATTCTGTAGACGGAACAGATCTGCGAAATGATCATAAAGCCATTGTCGCCAAGGTTGCATATGTGGAAGTCGGTATCTATTGGCATAGAGTTGTAAGTTGAAATCACCCAGGAGAATCCACTGATCGAGGTTCGCAGTTAACAAGGGATGTCGTAGCATTTCTAGGTAAAAACGGGAACGAGCCATTTCTTTGGGAGGTGCGTACACATTCGCTATGTGGCATATAATTCTGGATGTAGATTTCTCCATGATGGTGGCAGTGATAAGGCGCTCATCTAAGGAGACACTTTCGTTGGTGAGAACGAGACTGTTGTTGAGGCATATAATCGCACAATGGCGGGAGAGGAAACATGTTGCATAAGGAAAGAGACTGCGTATATTTTGTATATTTTCTTCGGTAAGATGTTTTTGTGTAGTGTTGTTGCTGCATAATTCTTGTAGGCATAAGATATCAAATTTGGTAGTGGGTGATGAGCGTAAAAATCGGGCATAGGTCGTTGTTGTTTGTTGTTTAGATACTTTAAATATACTACGTACATTTAAAGATCCAATAGATATATGTTGTACTGTCATATTTACGAGGATTTTGGTGTTGGCGAAATTGACGTCGCTGTTGTATCCACGTTTGTCATTTCCTTATCATGCGATTGTTTTCGAGATGCTGAAACCAGTAGGACTTCATCTTCTTCGTATTCCATGGGGACTGCAGTGGGAAGTCTACTTGGTCTATTCATTCGTTTCCTAGTCGTCGTAGCGGTGAGTGCTAGCATCTCCTTGGCCGTGTCAATTTTCATGGTAGATGCCACCTCGTATGGTGCATGTTTAGAGGCATTGAGATCTTTCCCAGGCATTGGTAGAGACTTCTTTGTCTTTGTCGACGTTTGTTCTATCTGACGATCTTCCATGGCGACATCTTCATGATCACTATTTGGATCCGTACCTAGATCTCCATCGTCGTGATCGTCAACAACACTCATTCCTGGATCTTCTTGTAGCATGGTCGAGTCCGTTTGCTCTTTAGTTAATGCCTCAGTATTAACTACTTTTGATTCTTTGTCCTTTACAGGCTGCGAGCTGTTTGCCATGTTCTCCTTGACGTTGATGTAGTCATCGATTTCTTCCGCAAAAGATTTTTCCTTCCTAGTGACTTTGGATCTGCAATTGCGTGCCAGATGTCCTCTTCCCTGACATGCATAACATTTGATACCCGCTAACATTGGGCAGTCTCTTTTCAAATGGTTCGACTGTCTGCAATGATAACAAATTGGAGGAGCTCCACGGAAGGAAGCCGGGACGTAACGATCCCATTCAGTGAGGTAAAGCATGCGTTGCAGAGGCTCTAAAGGTTGGTCTTTCACTTTCCTGTCGAGTAGTATTGTCACATCGCCTTCAAAGAAACTTGCATTCGTCAACATCTTAATTTGACAGACCGTTCCATATACTTCCATGGACTTCATAATGTTTGTCTTCATTACGTCTTCTTCAGCAGGTGGGACTCCTGATAGGTTCACCCTCACCATTTCAGGAATGTCGCCTGTTCCATTGTGAGATGGAGTACCACGATATTGAATCCCTTGAATGGTAACTCCGCTCGTTACCGCCTGGTTGTAACTTTCCACTGCTGCAAAAGTGGCCTCAATCAAATAATACCGCTGGCGTAGTCGACCGTTATCAATGTTTCGACATCCAAGTACCCTTCCACAAGTTTCTTGGATGAGCTGGTATGCTGCTATGTGGTCCCTGAGTTCATCCCTTGGAAGCTCAAACAGGACTGCATCATCATGTAATGCCTGTTGCAGAATTGATTCTGCTCTATGAATCCGGAGCTGTTCAGCTAGATCGCTGCGTTCATAGATTACCTTGGTGTCGATAGCTTTCCTCGTGCCTTCAGTATCCGAGCGTCTACTCAAGGTAGGCACTTTCATCTTTTGTCCTGTAGCCACAATTTGGCTCCATGATCTTTTTGAATTTCCCAGATCCGCGGAAGAGATGGGAGATGTCGCCATTTCGTAATGTTGTACTCTAATTTCGATGGAATTTGACGAAACTAGTACGAAAATAACGAGAAGACGTTGGGGAATCTTCTGTTGCTTGTTGTTTGTGTTGTTTACTTGTTTTTTTGTGAAGTATGCAGTTGTTGTTATCGCTTAAAAGTTTACCCGATCAAAGAAGTGTTCTTTAAGCGAAAGAGCCTTAGTAAAATTTGGCTGGTGCAACGGTTTCGGTTGAATTCGTTTCCTTTTTTTTGTAGGGAAAAGACTTGTTTTATTCAAAGGCCGTGTGGGAGTTTCTCTCCTGATTTACAAATTAAAACAAATATTCTAGGGGGGCGCTCTACTGTTTTCTTTTTGTTTTATATATTCTAACTAGGTTGGTTAGTTAGTTAATATTCGGTTTTGAATGCGGGGAGAAGGAAAGTCAATGAACGATATATCCTGCCACCGAACGACGAGACATCAGATAGTCTTTAGGAATATTGTACGAGCCAAGTGTTTGTCCCATGTTTGTTTTTCGAATGTGCAACGCCAGTGATAGGTCCATATAGTAGCGAGTACCCGTCCTATCCACGATAGAGTATTCATATTAGAGAATGAAGGTTCTATGATGAGATTCCAAATTTGACCTTGGCTTGGAGGAAATGATGGACCTGACCATGTATCGTTCCAGATGTGATCTTTCGCGGTGCACCCAAGGAAAAAGTGGTAGACATCTTCTATTGCAAGGTCACAAAAAGAACACATTGGTGACTCGTGAACCGTTGGCATGAAACGATGTAATTTTTCTTTTGTAGATATTGTCCCATGTAGTAGGCGCCACCATACCGTTGTTGCCCGATGAGGAATACGAACATGCCAGAAAGATCGCCATATCTTTGTTGATATTCGCCATCCCAAAGGAATTTGTAATGGAGGGTGAGGTGGCGAGATGAACCATTGGTACTGGGGATGTAAATATTGTCGTAACGCTCGCGGAGATGCTGTTTCAACTGTTGTTGTTGCTTTGCCAGGGAGAATGATCATCCAGTTGTCACTTGCCTGTGGATCAGTACCAAACGCTGGCGGTAGAGGAGGTAAAGATGCTATGAGCTTTCCTAAGGAAGTAATCATATTAAATCCTTTGGTTAACATTTTGATCTTCCTGTAGTTGGTAAACACTTCGTGGCTTGATTCGATTCCAATGTAATATCGAAAAAGGTCTAGCACAATTGGTGTACAGAAATCATGCGATTGGAGGGGTCGAAGAAGTCTTTGTAGGTAGAGTAGCTGTAACGCCAATTGTTGATGATAAAGATTAACAATACCTAGTCCACCATATTTCTTCTGTAGGCACGCTGTATCCATGGACGGAGCAGGCCAGAAAGGATAGATGAATTTGCGAATTTCTGTTTGTACCTGTTGTAACCATTTGGGAGGGACTGATACTACGCGCAATATATGCCATAACCGTGACAATAGCATGGAATTAGCAACCAAACTAGATCCTCGTACTGATAAATGACGCCCTCGAAAATGATTGATGTGTCTAACTAGTTGAAGGTATAAGTTATCAAGGAAGCTGTCAAGTTGGTGTGTCGACGTGTATATCGGATAGCCCAAATACGTGATGGCATTGTCACTGTCATTATCGTGCCATATGATTTGCGAAGAACGGCAAGTGGTTATCCAATCGTCGTGTGCGGTTCCTGAAAGCGAGGTAATATATGTTTTCTGGAGGTTGACTTTTGAATTGGATGCTTGATTGTATAAATCGAATAATTTTAACGCTTCTGTCCACTCATTAGTATCATTAAAGAAGATAAGTAAGTCATCTGCGTATGCCAGGAGCTTGATGGAGCTTGATACCTTTTGTGCGATTGCTGGAGTCTTGATCATATGTCGTTGTCTGCCAATAGGAATCACTTGAGGATGGTCAAGACTGATACCACGAATGATGGGGGAAGTTTCAATTAATCGTAGAAAAGGTTCAAAAGCTAAGTTGAAAAGCAGAGGGGACAGTGGGTCTCCTTGCCTTAATCCTCGCCGTTGGTAAAAAGGTGCACCATTCCAGCCATTGATGGATAAAGAGATCGCCGTGTCAAAGAAAAGGTGCTGCAATGTCTTGACCAAAACCATTGGTAGACCAAAGTGTAACAGTGTCCGTGTTAAATATTCTGGATGTATTCGATCATATGCTTTCTCTTGATCAAAACAAGCAGCCACTGCTGGAATATCTTCTTGATTGTTGATGCGTTGATAGTGTTGCATAACGGCTTGTAATACCCATCCGTTATCTGAAATCAATCGTCCAGGCAGGAATCCGGTTTGATAAGGATTGATTATATCTGGTAGATAACTATTCAGGCGGTTTGCAAGTAACTTGGTGAATAACTTGGCATCGGTGTTTATCAACGATAAGGGTCGCCAATTTTGAAGAAGTTCAGGATCTCCTTTTTTAAAAAGTAGGATCATTCTTGTCATCATCCACGAGGAAGGGATACTGCCTTGCATGGCTTCGTCGATTACCTGGCAAAACAACTTTTTGGCATCCAAAGAAATAGAGAACACCAGTTTGTACACTTCAAAAGGTAATCCATCCAAGCCAGGACTTTTGCCAAGTGGTGCGAATTTAATCAGATCGTCCAACTCTGTTACTGTGATAGGTCTGATTAGTCGATCTGCACTAGTTCTTTCGAGTCGACATTGTGCTGGGATAGCATCCAATAGTTGGTCAATAGCTGAATGATTCACAGGTGATGGTGTATAAAGTTGTTTGTAAAAGGATCTAGCTTCATGGAGGATCTCGCTATTGCAGTTGGTGGACTGTCCAGTATGGGAGGACTTGATAGATAGAATGGTCTGTTGTATCGTACGTTGTTTGATCACCCTGTAGAAGTACTTGTTGTTTCGTTCACCTTTTTCTCGCCATCTTGTAGCTGATCGTAATAGTAGTTGTGCTGTTTGACGGTCAATATGCTCTTCCAAATCTTTCTCTATGTGTTGTAACCGGTGTTGCAAATTGGTGGATGAGGAAGATAGTGAGTTGTTGGATCTATTAGACAAGTTGGCCATAATGTCTGCCCGTTCACTTTCAAGTATACGGATTTTGGATTTTGTTGCACTTTGAGAATGGAGGCTGAAGTCTTTGGCTGATAGTTGTACCATGGTTTTTAGGGATTCCCATTTTGTAATTGCATTGCCATGTTCCGTGGACTGAGAGAAGAAAAGGTATAACATGTGTTTTAGTAGATTAACATATGAGGACTGGGTAAGAATAGTAGGGTTTAAACGCCAACAGCCTGGACCTATGTCCACTTTGTCCAAAAGAAAATCCACGTGCAGAAGGTGATGGTCAGTCCAATTGGATGGTAAGTAGCGATGTTGAAAATTAGTCACACGGGAGGTTATATGGCGTGAAGAGAGAATGTAATCAATGGTGGAGCGATAATCACCCCTATGGAAGGTAAAGGATCCCTTTTCATTAAGATCCGTGAAGTGTTGGTGTCTCCAAGTATTCCAATGTTTTAACCAGATAGGGATGGTGCGATGAAGATTAACATTGAGATCCCCCACTAAGAACCAGTCTTCATGCGATAGATTTTTAAAGATTGGCCAATCGCGCATGTGTTGATAGAAATGTTTCTTTGTTGTTGATGATGTTTGTGCTGGTGCATAAATGTTTGCTATATTGATGCCAATCTTTGAATTTGTTTTATCTATAATCGTAGTTGAGATACAGCGTTCGTCGTTTGAAACAGCTTGATTCAACATATCATATTTTGTATTGAGAAGAATGATTGCACAATGTTTTGATAAAAGTAATTGTGCTCCTGGAAAATTAAAAGTGAGTTGCTTGATGTATTTGTCGTGTAAGTGAGTGTCGCGAGATAATGTTAATTCCTGTAAGCATAAAATGTCTATGCCTAAATGTCGTGATCGAAGATATGAGGTGAAATGGCGTTGATGTTGAGGGTGGTTTTCTTTGAATATACTACGTACATTCAAAGAAGCAATGCGTAATTTGTGATTACTCATTGACCTGACGGTCATTGGTTTCGTTAGTGGTAGGTGACTCCGGTATGATATCGTATTGAGACATTGCAAGTAACTTAGCTGACGTGGAGGAATTGGATGCTGGTGTATGTCTACTTGTCATTCGACGTTTTGCTTGTATGGATTTTCTTACATTAGCTGTCCTGATTGGAGAAAAACGGGACATGCCAAAATTGGCTGCATGACCATATGTTTTCATCAGCTGATGTGCTTTGTGGCGGTGACTGTGTGATTCTTCCAACTTATTAGGGGGTAGTTGGGGAATAACAATATTCTCATCGTTTTCTTTTTCATCGAAAGTTTCTTCTACCATTTGTTCATCAATTCCTTCAGGCATTGTAGTATTCGCATCCAATGAGACAATGCTTGCGTTTGTTGTCACGTTCGTGCGAAGTTTATCACTGTGTTCCTTCATATGCTGGTCGTTGCTTGTCTGGTTTGTTGCTTCCACCTTCTTTTCATTGTCACGAATTGCTGCTAGTCTAACGTATTCATCCAAAGCTTCCTTTTCTGACCGAGTTTTTTCTTTGCAATGACGAGCATAGTGACCTTTGCCTTGACAATTGTAACAGGTAACATTTGCCATTCGGGGACAGTTTCTTCTAATATGACCTGATTCTTTACACCCGAAACAAATAGGAGGAGCACCACGGTATGAAGCACTCACTTCCATATCCCATGGTTCTAAATAGAGTCTACGATCTAGCGTTTGCCATTGAATGTCCTTAATGGGTTTGGTATCTAGGAGTACCAGAGCGTCACCTTCAAAGTATCCACGATTAGTTATCTTCTTGATCTGACAAACTTTGCCATAGCGTCGTAGACCATCGAGGAGTTCTTTGCAAAGAACATCGTCAGGAAGAAAATAGGGAAGTTGACTCAAAGTTAATCTTACTAATTGATCGGATGTGCCTTCATTAGCCGGAGTACCTTTGTAAAGGATGTTGTTGCATACTACCCCTTGTTGGATGGCCTTC